TAATGAAGAGTCAGATAAGACTTATAAAATATTTTTTAAAATAAATTTCTACTAATAAAATAATTCAGATTCATTTTTCCCTCTAGTTATAAATATTATAAATAAAGAAAATATCACTTTTCTGAAGTGTCTCAGCTTTCTGAAATGTGGGTCAATAGGTACCTGCAGGTTAAACAACTCTGACAGAAATATATAATGTTTAGAGGCTTCCCCTTTGTTACATTCCTCATTACTGTGAAACGTGGAAGGTGGGAGTTCCCCACTGAATATGTTCAAAAGCACAGGTTCTAAATAAAAAATTCCATGTTCAGCAGAGTAGTCAGTGGTTTTTCATCGTTGGATGCTGATATCCCATCCGAACCTACCTGTTTCCTTAAAGGACCCTCAATGAGATGAAGGTGTTCTTCGATACATTTTTTGGCAAGTTTGTAATGTATTATTTATCAACGTAGCTTCTTACAAGTATTAATAATATATGTTCTCCCACTTCTGCTGTGAAATCTTTTTTTCAGCTTAACTGAGTTCAGAAAATAAATTTAAACTTTATTCTGTGTTAAGTAATATCTTCTTATTTGATAAGGTAATCTATAGAGTGGCAAGTTTGGTGTAAGCCCTTTGGGAAACTGTGATCCTAATTATGTGATGCAAAAAAACATTTACCCTACAGAAGTTAGTGTTAAAGGACCTTCAGTCCCTTTTTTCAGTCTGCACTTGGACTTCCTAGCTTTGTTGACCAACGATGAGTAATGTGATACTGGAGGTCTCAACTCCCAGCAACAGTGCAGGCTCTTTAGGTCTTGCCAGGTCTGAACTTGGTACCTAGCTGGACCTGATTTTAAAGGCTTATTTTTCACATAAACTAAAATTCTGCACAAGTATCCTTTTAGCTATGGTAGTCAAGCAAATGACAAACTCTGTTTCCTAGCACGTAGTTACTCTGAATCACTGCCACATTTTCAAAGAGTAAAACTGAAAAATACAGATACTATATTAGAAATATAATTCATACTCAATATTTTATAGAAAGTATTTTTGTTTAGTTGTAATTAGCCTTGTGTCTCTGAATTTAGGCACGTCATACATCATCTCACGGACTGCTTAATCAAATGGGATTGGCTAAGTAAATCCTCATTGATCAGGATTTTTGCTTTTATTATTTTGATTAAGCAGGAGTCCTTAGTTTACAAGAATATAAAATCGCTGCCTGACACATATCCCCCCCTGCAAAAAAAGAATATTTCAGGTAAACTGTCTGCCTTGATAAAGCTTGTTCCAATGCACTGGAGTCCCCATACTGACATTTTAGCTTGTAAGCCATGCTAAATGTGTATTATTTTCAATATCAACACAAACCTCCAATATTATTCTCTTCTGTTTTGTTCAGTCACTGCTATAATTTGGCTTCTGTGACATTTGATATAATAGAAAGAAAAGGTTTTCAACCCTATTAGCATGCCAAGCACAAGACAAGCTTGATCTCTTGTGATTTTTTTTTGCTCCTTCACAGCAACAATTGGGCAAAGATGTCATAACTACAGTGCATGCCTTAAATGAAACCTCAAGGCTATCTTCTTCGAAGAGGATATATTCCATGATTTTTCTGCATCATTAAAACTGTCTGACATTATGTGAGACCTGTGTATTTTTGCAGCACCATAGTAGATGAAGGCATACAATCAAATAATAAAAAAAAATTACTAAGGCCCCTAACAGCAAAGCAAGTAAAATATATAACTGAAAATCAGACATGGGAGAGAGCATTGGGCCCAAGGAAATTGCCAGTGCACTGGGTTTTTCAATTTCCAGGCAGTTACATTATTTTCTCTTGCACCTGTGGTACCCTTCCAGCAGCAGGGGTTCCAGCTGAAAGGAAGGAGCGGACAAGCATCGAGGACAATGACAGTGGGAATGTTGGTTGAGAGAGACCCTCTGGGATGATTTGCTTGCTGACCAGATTTGGAGCATCTCACAAGAGTTTTGACAGGATGTCAGGAAACACAAAGAAGCACCAGTGGCTGTACTGCACGTGAGCTCTGACAAAATAAGGTAAGATTGGACAGAGGCCTTAGGGGTGAAATTTAGTCTGGCAAGTGAAAGCTGAAGTTAAGGACATTCACAGTAGCATAGTCTGAAATTGTCTCACTATGTACAATCAGAGAGAAAAATGCAAAGGTATGGAAATACAAAGCTTTAAATGCCTTGCTGAGAAAAACAGGCTTCAGAAAGTTTAAAAACTTTCCTATGACCATTGTGATTCTAGCTGAAAAGTTCAGAAAATGTGCAGGTGTTGGAAACCACACAATAGAAAAAAAAAAAATGCGCAAAAGTATACAGTTCAGATATAAAGGGTGCACCCACTAGGATTCTGCATTCTTCACTGAAGAATGATACAAAAGGTGATGGTAGTCCAGTAGGAGATGCAGAAATGGTAGATCACACAGAATCAAACGAGGGTCCAGAAAAGAGGAGAAAGAAAGCCACAATAAAAAGCCAAGGGTTAAAATGGGAACTAGTATAGGTAGCTTTAATGCCTAATGATAAACAAGAGTATCAGCATAACAGGTATGTTCTAAATCTGTGGGAAAGAAGAAAATCAGTCAGGCAGCACAGTACCAAAGAGCAAAACACACAGGAAAGCCAAATTCAACCTTATCAATGGAGGAATAATGATGGTTTTTGAAGGAAGCTCTAAATCAAATAAGACTTAAAGAAGAGAACAGTATTAACACTAGCTAGTCAGCAAAAGTTCTTTAGTTCTTCTAAATTTTACAGCAACCATAATGAGATTAAAGGTAATATCTGTGCAGGAGTAATAAGAGCCAAAATTACATGATGGCTGTACTCAGTTAAATAAATTTTAAAAAAAAAAGTGGAAATAAATAAAACTGAGCAATACTGCTATAAAAAAACTGAATGGGGAAGCTGAGACAGTTAAATTACTGTGAGTGGTGTGTATTCTGTCCAGGGACACCATTTTGAAGACCCATAGCAAATGCACAGGACCCATTAAAAAGCAAGTCAGTAAGGATAAACAGCCTAGCTAATAAAGGTAAGAACACATCTTTCAAAACAATGAAGTTGTTTCTCAGGGAGGACAATAGAAATAACCATAAAATCTGTTTTATCTATAAAACCACAATAAAGAAGACAAAAAATGAGTTTGGATAAATCTCTGGCAAACAAGCTAATAATAATTGTCTTTTAAAGATACCTGGAGGCAAAAGCCTGAGAGGAACTGTAAAACCAACTCAAAATTGAGATATAGAAGAAGTGCTCAGAGAAGATAAGATCAGAAATGTAAATCTTAATACATTTTTTTCTTTCTCTTCAGTGTAGAATAGCTGGGGAATATTTATATCCTGGAACCCTTCTTTATGGGGGACTCATGAGAAGGTTAAATTACCTATAGAAGCAACTGTGGAACAAACAGACATGACAGTTACACATCATTGGGATTACCTGTTAGGTGCCCAAGAGCCTGAAGGATGAAATAAGTGAACTATTATGATGTGTAATATTTTGTTTCAAACCACTGTGGCACATGAAGGCTTGGAGGTGCTAATAAAACACTGATTTTTTTTTTTTTTTAATTTATTTTTTTTCCCCCCAAAGACTCCCAGGAAGTTCAGGGGACATAAGGATGGATATGACTGACATGCACAGGGTAAAACAATAGGAGCACGATTAATGGACTCATGGAGAATATCCCATGCTGAAAAAACATTCTACACAGCTTTTAAAAATAAAGGTCATATTTTGCAATGCTTTCTTAATTCTTTAAAGCGGTCAACATGCAGGTAAATAGGTAGGGATGGATTCAAAGCAAATGAGGGGAAGCTGTTGTGTGATACATGATCAATCTGTGCACCTTACTAATATAGGATGTTGTGGACACTGAAGTTTTACATAAGTTTCAAAGCAAGGGGGTAACTTGCTGTAAGAAAAATCCGTTGAGGGTTGTTAAATACAAAGACACCATCTGGCCTAAAAATTGTTAGAAATTGAGGAAATGTTCTGGAATATTGTTTGGCCTGTTCTTATGTGTACCATCTAGACGTCAGTGTGCGAGATGGATCTTTGTCTTAACATGGTCATTCTTACATGCCTGTAGAAATGCAATGTATTTTATACTGAGGAAACGAAGGAAAATAATTTTTATATAAGAGAAAACTGAAGTTTCAGGTGTGGTTTGGTAACTAAGTAGCATTTATAATGCACAAAGTGGGACTACAATTTATGTGCAAGAAAAGAAATGCAAAGTAAAAAGCTGCCATGATCTTAGTGCAAATTCACATGAATGTTCTAATATGAATTTTACTTACTAAAAACTTTTAGCAGCTAATTATTTTGGCGTAGTTATCAACATTTATGCTTGATTAGTGTCTGCATTTCAAAGGTACAAAATATACAAAACCTCAGTAAGTGACAATTCTGCTAATCATAAACAGACTATGAAACTCTTTAGATTAGCATACTTCTGAAAAGCCTCATTTAAACTAATTGATATGAAATGTCACAAATTGTCAGTGGATGATCATTATTTTGAGGTTGTAAGTGTTTCAAGGACAGATATAATCTTCCTTGACGAAGGCCAAGATGTGCAAAAAATCTATTCCTATTATCATAACAGCAATGCTTAGCGTGAGCCAGTCCTCTTTGGCACCTGGAAGTCTCAGGTTATAATCTTTTGTCATTTGAAGGGGATCATCCAGTTTCCTTTGACAAAATAGTATTTCCCAAATAATTTTTAAAGTGATAATGAAAAGAACTCTCTGGATCAGGCCGGTCCTGTGGAATGATGATATATTTCCTCTTAGACATTCAAAACTCGTCCTTTCAAGTTGATCTTTATATTATTTAAAACATAACAGTATAGTCTAAATTTTTTAACCTTGTACTGTTATTCTTTCTGGATCTCAATTCCTTATACAAAGGATTTTTCATGTAAACACTTTCAGTAAAGCTTATTTGAAAATTAATGCATTTGAAATACAACATACTCTTAGGAAATCTGGGTGGGTTGTCATTGACATCTGTGAGAGTAATGTTTACTGTGGTAGTACCAGCTAGTCCTCCTAGCTGTCCTCCCATGTCCTTGGCTTGGATTAGAACTTGATATTGTTCTTTCACTTCTCTGTCCATATTTGGCAAAGCTGTTCTTATTACACCTACAGGAAGAAATGGGAAAAAGAAAGAACAAGTAAACAAAGGGCTGTGATTGTCTACTACTACATTTTAATACTGGACCTTTTGGACCAGGAATGAAACTCTTCCTAAAGGGCTGATAAGAGAGAAGTTCACACAGAAACATGCAAATCACTTGGGCTTTTCAAAAGTGTGCTATTCCTCCATCCAAAATGACTGCTGTGTCTTTTCAACCAGGACACGAACAGCTGAAAGAGAATGGTGCATTTTCACTATGGATGTGAATGGCGTGAGCATAGGTTTGCCATGTTGGAACTGAAGAACGCCACATTGGTCAGAGCAGGGTAATGGAGGAAAAGGTGGCAATGCATTTCAGAATCTGCATCTTCAGTTGTTTCCAACCAGCCACGTGTCATCACAGTTAAACTACTGTAGGCCAAGACAATATTCCTTCTGTACAAAAGGAGGTCTTTATTAGAAGACTCTCCTTTGCTTGAGAAAGTTTTATTGATCTAGCACATAGATACAGTGAAAATGTTAGGTGTTTCCTTAAAGAAATGTAATTAGATTATCATGGTAAGATATTACCCAAATGATACTTAATCATCAGTGATTTTGTATAGCTGACATCTAAATATGTATACCATAATCTCCCTTCTGATATGTTAAAAATGTATATGATAAAAGGAAAACTTGTAGAGAAACAGAGAGATACTACTGATCAAAGGATTAGCTGATGAGACTGTAAAAAGCTAGAAGGTTTTCAGTACTCAAGCCTTTCTCTTGAAACCAGATATAGAGGAGAAATTTTATTTCTTTACAAAATTTTACAAGTGCATATTACATTGCAAAATGCTATATACTGAGCTATAGTTTTCAGAAAATGGCTAGGTGCAGATTGGTGCACATAGCAAGCACAACTGAAAAACAAACTAATTCGAAACATGCTTCTCCTCTAAGTTATTATTGTTTTACAAAATATTATTTTCTAGTATTAAACCTTTTGGATTTAAAAGAAATTATTTTCTCCTGGTGTTACAGTGGTTCTGGATTGATCAAAGAAACAAACTTTAAGGGTCATTCTTTATAGCAACTAACCGCTGATGTGTTAAGGAACCATTAGCATATAGTACTTGTTCAGAGTCTAGAAATAACTTTGACCTAAATGTGCTATTTCTGGAACCTATTAAAAATCCTCATTGAATTGAACTGTATTTCCTTTCTCTCCACTTGTAACACTGATGATAATAATGACAACATTAATAATAACTACTATTTTCTACCTCAAAATGGTATATACTATACTGCATAGATCTGGAATATGAGTAAGAAATACTTCAGAACATTCAGATACTACAACACTATCCTTCTGAGCTTGTGAAAATAGTGTTGCTCAGTGTTTTGCTTGTTTCAGACAGAAATCTTGAATTGTAAAACTGTAAAAAATTGTTCATATTCATGTGATATTAATGAAAAAACATTTTTGTAAATAGGATGAACATTACTAGGTTTCTTCTTGAATCTCTTAATCCATATTTTTGCATTGTGGAGACTATATGTTCACAATCTTTTACAACATCCTTGTTATGCTGATTCTAAGGAGAAAAGAGATGTGAGAATTAGACTTTCCTTGTTGTAACAGCAAAATGAAATAACAGTAAGTAGAAAAAACTGAAAATGGGCAGATAGGTTGTGAGCAGGAGATGCAGTTAATCTGTTTGTAATACCTGTTGTAGGTAAAACTGAGTGGCTTTCTCAGTTAGAAATATTCCAGATGGCTTCAGAAAATGAAGAATTTGGTATCACTCTAGTAATAAAGTTCCAAATCACCTACTCTTTTATTTCTGTCTGGAAGTTTAAGGGCATTCTGTGTATTTTTCTATAATAAACTTTTACCTCCAGAAAAAAAAAAAAAAAAATCAATGAGAATAATTTTGATGTCTAGCAGATCATAGGAAATTTTCTCTTTTTTTACCTGCTCTAATTCAAAAGCATAGAAAAATCCCTGAAAAATACTGTTTCTGCCAAAATCATCAGTTCATATGGAAAGGACAAAGTTGATTTACAGTTATCTAACCAGCAAAATAAAAATAATAAAATGGGGGTAAAAATTGGTAAGAAAGAAAGGACTACAAATTTCGGTACACTAGCTTCAGCTTCACAAAGAATATCCTAACTTTAAATCAAAGGCTTATCATAATGTAGAGGTCTTAGATGCATGTAATGGTATTATGAGTGTTTTTAACTCCTTCTACTTTAAGATTCTATGATAAAGATTGTTCAGCTCCAGAACTGAATAATTTTGATTCTTCTTTCCATATGTATCGATATACAATGTGCAGAAAAGTATGGTCTCAATGAGGCTGCTGAAAATTGAAAATAGTATGTATGGGATCTGGGCCAAAAGATATACTCTGCAAAGCTATTGAGTGATAAACAACAGGAGATAATACACTTACGCAGAAGAGAAAATCCAAGTTCTGTGAAAAAACTCCTGAATAAATATTAATATCAGTATTCC